TGTACTTCTGGTAGTCACCACCTTGTCCACCACCCTGGGCACCCTTGGCCTGGCCTTGCATGTACTTCTGGTAGTCGCCTGCGTACTGGGACATGTACTTCTGATAGCCACCGCCTTCTGCAGATTCCTTTGGGGATCCAAAAGTTTGTCTTTGTCTGATGTTTTTAAATGTAGGTGTTTATCGAATCTCTTAAGGTCGGCATTTCTTGTTCAACACCAGCGTTTGCGCATGTTCTTTCACAGAGTTTAAGGCTGAAAGCTGCACACCAAAATTATATAACCAGATCCAGAGACACTTCCGTCATGCCACACTAATGGTGCACTCCCCGCAACATGTGAGCCGCGTCCTCCTTCTTGGTGTGGCCTTTGCTGGTGTCGGCAGCCATCAGACTCACGGCTTGGGCTTCCTTGGGGGCATCGGACTTCATGCCAGCGTATGTCTGGATGTAGTCTTGATATCCGGAGCCTTTGCCAAACTGCTTCAAATAATCGCCGGCATATTCGGAGATGTATTTCTGGTAGCCGTGGCCCGTGGCCAGCGGGACAAAGGCCAGCACGAAGGCTAAGGTTTGGAGAGCCATTGCGCCGAACCACGTCTCCAGAAATGAATCCTTGAGCCTTTTGGTTTTTTGGAGGTGCGCTTGGCCAAACAAAGGAGAAAGCACGAACATGACCGGCATCGTGGCTTTTAGGATCTTTTAGGCCCTTGTTTTTGCGAGACCTTTTTCTGTCCTACCATTCAAGTCGTGAGCAGTCCTCTCCAGCATTCGCGGTTCTCTCTCACTAATCTCTGCATGCTTGCATGCTGGAACAGGCAAACAACGGCTTCAACCACGACATCCTTGAAAGAACCACACCCAAAATACCCTGAGTCAGATCCTGTTCCTCCAGTCGAGTGATCAGTGATCATCAGTACTCAGTACTCTCTACCTCTCAGGGTACGAGCACCCAGCCGCCGAGGTCCCACACCCAGCTGCCGCCGAACTGCCCTGACCGACCACGTGTCACCACAAAAAAAAACTGGAGGAAAAAAGGATCACGTAGAAGCAACTCACATTGATGCTCACTGGGATCACCCTTCTCCGTTTCGTTGGAGTCGAGCTGGGGATCGGGGATCCTAGGTCCATGAAAAGCAGTTGTTGGACGACCTTTGCAGCAAGGGGTCTTAGGCTGTCACCAAAACAGGGACTGCTTTTTTAGGAACCACATCCAAGATTTTAAGTTCAAAATGCGTCTGCTCCTCCCAATCACGGTAAGTGAGCAGGCTCTAGGGAGAAATGTCACATCTTCAATTTTGTCCTCCAATCATGGAAAACACACATAGGAGGTGGTGGGAGGCAAGTGGAGGGGATATGGAAAGAGAGTCGGGAAGGTGGCAGTGGTCGCCGGGGCAAGATGAGTCACTGGAAGTTCTTCTGGGCATGCCATACTATTGCATTAAATGCAAACTGTCACACGAAAAAGGATCCCGTTTAAACAGTTTGACTATTAGGTTATACGATAAGGTCGTCCATGGTCGTCCATTTGGGCAGCCACCCCTACCCTACTTTCACACCCCGACCCGTGACGCCGCGCCTCCAAAACCAAGCACCGTGCCGCAGTGCGTTGCGGCGGAACCCACGTGGCGACGGGGTGGAAGAGCAGAAGCCCCCCCAAAAGAAAGGCCCTGAATTCGCCAAGTCAAAAACTGTGTGTTCATGATTCATGATTCATTCTCATTTGTGTCTTGGGATGTCTGCCGAAAAAGCCTTGCATTCGCACCTTCTGTGAGCCAGACACCAAGCACATCATGCTTTTGTGGGCCAGCTGGTGATCGCAGCATGCTGAGTGCAAAGTAGATTTGCAGAAACATCAAAAACCTCAATTGACATTGTCATCATTGTCATCAAGGAGAAAGCGAAGCAAAACAACGAGGCACCACGCGACGCATGATTCCGAGGAAAGAGTTGGAAGTCCAAGGATCTGTAAAGCTGCAGCGGAAATAGAAAAACCCACTGAAAGGACTTGGATTGAAAGCCGCTGGTTTTTTTTTTGGGCAGCACGCAGGCTGGCTCTTTCCCGATGTTCTGGGGTGAAAGCTGACATTTCAATTTCTCATTGACTTGCATGTTTGCAACTTCGTTGATTGCATGCTCAACTGTCCAGTTTGGATCAGGAGAGCAACTCTGAGAGCATCTCTAAGAGGACTGAGGGAGGCTTCCAAAACTCAGAGCAAAGATGTCCATGAAGTACCCACTCCCGACACCCCCGTCTTCGCTCATGCTCACTCGAGGACCTCCACTTCTGAAGGCTGAGGCTTCCCCTTGGCCTTGGCCTTCGCTCTTCTTCGAGCTCTCCGCAGGGCCGCGCGCGACGACGTCGCGCCGTCCTCATCCGCTAGGTCCACGATCTCCTTGGACTTGCCCGACTTGCCATTCGCCACCGCGATGATGTCGAGCTCGGCGTCCTCGCCGTTCGTCGCGCCATGAGGTCGGCCCTTCTTCGGCCGCTTGGAGGGAGACGCTGGGATCAGCTCCTCATCCGAAAGCTCCTCCTCGATCTCTGCCTGAACGGTGCGCTTCTTCTGCTGCTCCCGCGTTTGCCTTCGCAACTCCAGGCGGTCCTCTAGAGTCAATTTCCTCAGAGGCTCCCCCACATGCTTGGGGTTGTCGTTGATATCTACGTCTTTTCGATACTTCTTCTCCTCGCCGTAGCGGTCCCAGCCGGCCATGTAGGCCGGGCGGCTAAGCCCTCTCTAAAGAGGACGGAAAAACAGCAGTCCCTTTGAGCCTGACAGGTTCAGGTCAAACCTGGATAGGGGGGGACACCTCTTGTCTCAGCTGGCTTTGGACCACGGCTTAGCAGCCATCTCTCTAGACTCTAGCTGTTCTGGGTCTAACGGACCGGACGAAGCACGTGTCCCATCGTGTCCCGTGTTCCGACGAAGCACGACGTGCTCTGTCCGTCAACTCAACAGATTGGGGTCGGACAACAACAAATTCTTCCACTGCAAGGGGGTGGTTCTCGTGCTTGGACACCAAGCCTGCTTGTCAAAGGATGGCGTTCGGCCGAACCCTTTTGCCCACATGACCCAGGCATCGCTGGTTGGGTGAGACAAGCTCAGATCCCAAACGGGTGGTTTCCCGTTTTGCCGAGCGGGTTCCCCCTGACGAGTAGTTGGCGCCGTTGCGGGCGGTTTCTGTCGTCCACACTCCGAGCACAAACACCGAACACATTTCAGATGGTCAGCTGGTAGAAGTGAACTAAGCTGACAAAATCACAACCTGAACCTAAACTTGATTGTCAGCTTGAGGTTGAAGGCGACCTCCCTAAGTGCACTCATGTCAACGAATGAAACCCCGCTCAAACTCACTCAGCCACGGATTCCGGGTGTCCCGGTGTGCTGGCCGCGCGGCGCTTGGAAGTTGGAAAAGACCTGCACCTTTCCAGCCCAACCATTGGGTCGAGCAGATCCCAAACGCTGTTCTAAACTGTGACTTGGGATTTATTCCAAGGGTCTGGCTCAGGGGGAGGTGCTTGTCAAATGTGTATGTGTCTTTTTCTTCCGCTGGGGCGGTGCATGCGGAAGCCCTCCGAACCAAAGAAAGAGAACAAACGTTGACACTCCAGCACTGGCAATTGAGTGCCGCGTTTCTCCCCTCAACCATGCACCGGGCTGCGTTTCCGTGATTCTTTTGAGCTCGGGGTGGGGCCTGGCAATGACAAATGAACCCATCGCAGCCCCTCGAGGCGATCAACGCTTGGCGTGACTTGATCTGGATGGAATCCAGAGTTGCAAAAAGCTCTTCAAGGGGATTGATCCTTCTACTCCGATGTGATTCTTTTGAAATGGCAGGGACTTCTAAAGACTTCCAGAGCGTCGCATCGCGCGCGCCTCATGGCACGCATTTCTAGGCCCCTCGGCCCCCTACTCATCGTCGCTTCTGAAGGGCGACAATGGCCTCACCGCACGAGGGCCATATGGCATCTGTTCTTCGACCCAACGAACATCAGCTGGGACCATCAACTAACTGCTCAAGCCTATCAGCCTTACCTTCAGCATGTCCAAGGCCCTCCCGCCCATGAGGCCATCCCAAAAGCACCCTCTCGGACGGACCAACGGTCACCCACAGCCGCAAGTCGACGCCCCAAAGTCGACAGCCTCGACCTGGCCCCTCCCTGACCCTCGACCATTGCTTCCCTCCGCCTGTTGCATCCGATTGGTATTGGATACTTCAGTTTTCCTGGCAGATCAGTGCGCTAGACTCGCATGTTCCTGTGCGTATATAGTACACATCACATAGGTAGAAATTGGCTAACACCTATCATGAGTCCACAAAGTGATCAGCTGCGACTTCACAAAAAGAAGCGCCAATGCCTTTGATCCAGTGCTATCACCTGACTCTGCAGCAGTTCGACCACCTTCAACTTTATCGACTGAGCACCTCCTTCCAGCCATTGCCAAGCCACGGTCTGTGACAGGACGCAGGAGGCAGACTGTTACCCGGTTATAGGCTAGGGGTTCACTGTAAGTTCAAGATTGCACATCAAACCCCGGGCATTGTGCCATAATTACTTACAGTAACTGGTGCCATCTTGCAGTGAGGTCCTATACCCGGTGACGATTCTCTCGCTTGGACCGTTCCTGTATCCAAACATCAGCTTCGAGGGGCTCCTGACGAACGAGAACGAGTCACCCGTGCGGGCACGCACTCTCACTTAGAATATGCTGTTCGTCTGATGGTTTCCACTCCTTGCACAAGTCATCACAAGTCCCACGATTGGTTGTTCTAGTCTAGTCGGTGGATGTTCATCCGCCAGCCAGTTCCATCATTGGCCCAACCAAAAGAAGAAACACCTATATATTTATAACTATATAAATTCATAAGGTCACAACGGAAACGGAACTCCTCAACCCAGAGGTCCATTTTTTCAGACTAGTTCGAGTTGCCCAACACCAGAACCCTGGCAGAACCATGCACCATCCCAAAAAAAAGTATCAGCCGACCATGGTTGGTGCAAATCGCACCCTGGACAGCCGACAAATCGCACCCCTTCTGGCCTTGTGCTTGGTGAGAGCGCTCAAGGGTAGCGGTCTTGGGGCCGCGATGCCCGGAGCGCCCTAGGGCAGGACGCGGTGGGACGGACGGTGGGACGCTCTGTACATGGATCGGAGCTTCGGAACACCTTCAAATCCTTCAACAGAGCGGAAGGAGCAGTAGGAAGCAAACCTTCTTCCAGAAGCTTCAACCACCTCCAGTGGTCTCCCTTAGTCACTTCCCGCGTCCCTTGCTGAACATTCGACACGTGCTCTTGGCACATCTCAAGCCTTACAGCCTCCTCCCTAGTCCTTAGCCAGGCCACGCTTCCAAGAAAACAAAGGGCCTGGCCTCGATCAAACCCTCCACAACCTTTGCCAACTTGGCCTCTTGTGCCCTTGACAGCTTCGGCTTCTTCTTCGCCTGGGAGCTGAAGACTTGGACCGAACACGGCTCAAAATGGACGAAAACATGTCGTATTTAGATGGGGAAGCGACTGGATCGGTGAACCGTTCGTGCATCTATGAAGCAATTGGTCTTCCACGTGCACGAGATTCCTGTCAGCAACCACGAACGTGTCTTCAATTAATTAATCGTCTTCTCCCATGTCAGGGATCTCTCCCTCCCTCTCTCTCTCTTCCGTCCGTGCGCATCTCTCAAAAAGCAGCTTAGCGGACCGGACGAATTGGGGTCATGATGTCTCTCTCCCTCCCTCCGAACATCGGGCGGCCTGGGCCTGGGCATCCTTCTTCTTTTGTCGCTCCTGCAGCAGGTCGCAGGTCAGCGCTGCCCTCTTCGTCAGTCTGGTCAAACACGGGTGTTTCATGGTGTTTCCTCTTGCAAACTCAAACTTACCTCGAAAATCTCGAAGATTGAAAATTCGGACGGAAACCACATTGATCGCACGTAGAAACTGCTGGCGACAGCTCCACCAGAACGAGCAGCTCCTTGTCTTTTGAAAGACTTTTGGTCGCAGCCTCCACATTCCATGATCTCTCAACAACTGTATCGAAATCAACAGAGCGAAGTCGAAGTTATTTCGAACTCGTGCTTTGAGATGCTTTGAGTCTCATTGGAGAATTACCAGACTGATGTCCAAATGTCTGCAGACATCCAAGCCTCCTGATTTCCAGTTCAGTGTTTTCCACTGCTTCATCGGCTGAACAACGAACGTCGTTCGGGCGATCTCTACGGCCTTCTTGCTGGTCTTGGCCGTGCTCTCGCTACCTGGCACCGGGCGACTCTTGTCGAGAGAACAACACACACGGGTGGGGAGATGAGCAAATCTCTCAAACCGACCAGCCAGGATGGCCCATGTCAAGACACCACTCAGCTGACCTGCACAGGGCAGAAGTCAAAAACCTGGAATACATCATGAGCCAACCAGGCTGAACATCCGTGGGCCAGCTGCTTTGAAATGGCATGGCGCAGCGCACAGTCATGGCCAAATGACTGCTGGGTCAAATGGGAATGATGTCACTGGGGTCCCAACCGCTTGTGACTTTCATGTGCCCAACAAACTGTATAGTTACATATCTATATGGTAGGATGGATGCATGTATGTATGTATTTCGAGAGTATAGACAGGGATCAAAATTAATGATAATGTGATGAGTCAATCAATGAGACAACAAAAACATCAACAACAACATCAGTCGAAACCTATACTGACTTCAAAAACAGAAGAGCCCCTTTATAAGAGGGGATAAGTTGAATCAAGATATATATAGATGTGCTAATCAGCATAGAGAGAGCGAGAGACAGAGAGATAAAGATTTCCTTCCACGGTCCTGAACAGATTCCCCGAGTCTTGTTCCCTGCCTAAACCAAGAGGTGTGCCACCCCAAGCCACGCGCTCACGGCATCGGCTCCGCCGGCAGAATGAGCACGGAGAAGAAGAAGAAGAAAAAGAGCAGAAAAGCAGAAGAGCCAACCAACGGTGGGAGGGAAGCTGATGCTGGATGTGATCCTTTACATCTGAGCATTGAGCGTCACTGTTTCAAGGACGAACGCATTTTCAGTCTCCATGTGTCTTCAAGACTGAGATTGGCTAGATTTTGAGAATCCTTGAGATGGGGATTCTGGAGAAGACCCCTCCCTCATGAAACGCAGGGTTGGAAGACCTGTGATCTGGGCAGGCATATCACATATCTTCTGGTTATCTAACTTTGAGGCCAAATGCCTGCTCATGGCACCATGTCATGTCTATCCATGCGTCACAGCATCGGCAAGCGAGAAGGACTCACTGCAGGTCTATCACGACAAACGTGTCACATGCCTCCACCGCATCAACCCCAGGCAGTTCAACCCTATGACTCCCCTGTACAGCTCAGCCTCTTTTCATCGAATCTAGAACTTGATCTTTAAACTGTCTAGATCTGGAAACGAAGTCTATGTACCTTCTGCAGGAGTAGCATTTGGGTCGGACACAGGCCCAGTTCAGTCATATCACATATCTGAGTACCACTTGAAATGAGAAAGGCCCGTCGCCCACTGCTACCCTGCTCCAGCCGATGCCGGGTCATAAAATATGTACAGGCTTCTTCAGCCTTAGACAGGCTGCCACGCCAGCAAAGGGCCTTCCGCCAAGGGAAGTAGGGCTGATGCTCACCAAGGCCTTCCTCCAACTTAGCCGATCACTCATGGCGCTACGTCGAGCCTACTGGCCGAACTGGCCCCATCCAGTTCAACGAACACCACATTCCATCACCCCTTTGCCGACGATGGGCAGCCCTTTCCATTCGCTAACCCTGTGTACATGGTGGGCTCGGCCCGGAAATCGGCCTTCAATCCTTCACCCCAGCTTGTGCCCGCTCCATCGCTGAGATGATGTGCTTACCATACCTCCGAGGCGAAGACTCACCAAAAAAGCCCTTTTGACACGAGCAACAAAAGATGGCAGGAGGCGGCTTAGGAACTAGTTTCGGGCTCAGAGTCAACGAGCTCTTGTTCCACGGCTTGGACACGATCACGGCGAGGCACGTGTTGGACTTCTTCAAGACGGGCATGTGCTCCCGCAACTTGGCAAAGAGCATGTCCCGCTGCGGAAGCTGGGCCAACGCAATCACGCGCTGCACAATGTAGTTCCCGAACCTCCCAACACCGTGCGCGTTCCGCCGCGGGAACCGCGCGGCGGGAGACTTCGGAAGGCGCCGCACCAACCGACTAGCTGTCCCTCCCTTCTGTTGTGTGCTACTGCTGCTACTGCAGCGGAACTGCTTCTGCACAGCATGATTGGATTGGCCTTCCTTCTCGCCTGGGCCCCCTGAACCAACCCCCGTGCCTGTCTCGCATCATGACAAGCAGGGGCGGGTGTGGATCATTGGGTTGTCCACAAATGGCCTCGCAGCACCGAACCAAACACACAAAACCACCCGCGACGCGCGCCAGCCCGCACATCGCGCGGGGGCTGGTGGTCTCGTGTCGCTCGTGCTTTGGTGACCGTCCAAGTGGAAATCACTGGCACCCATTCGTGGTGGCCGCCTGGCCACCCCTCTTCCATATGAGCTCCAATCCCATCGAATCTGCCATGCTTGACACCCACCATACCCAGATGGATCCCAAAAAGGGCTGGAATCCTACCCAAAACGGCCTGCCTCGGCTTCTTTGTTTGGCCTACCCACCTCGAGCTCGGGGCGCGCGGACTCTCTCGGGGCGCGCGGACGAGTCGGTGCCTCGCCTCCACCAAGAGCGCTCTCTCGTCTGGAGTCGCGCACTGGAGCGCCTTCTCAATGACATTGCTGGCATATTTGTGGCCTCAAACGACATACAGCTGCGGCCCACCACGGCCGAGGTGACCCACATCCACAGCTAGGCCACAGGTGTAGACTCTTCTTCTACACAGCTCGGACCGTCTAGGCCACTTCGGTCCGCGGAGCTGACCCACATCCATCCACATCCAGACCCAACCAGGGTGAGGTCCCCACGTTTGACTTGGTGACTTGCTTTTGATGGAACCGGAGAAAGCAGAAAGCCCGGTTCCGGACATGGTGGACAGTGCAATTGAGAAAGCCGAGGGAAAAGCGTCAGAAGTCATTCTAATCCTGACCACCGTTCGGAACACCTACAGGTGTTCGAGCCAATCGGAGAAGCTGAAGACCTCGCCAGGACAACATACAGTATTTAAAACTTAATGTGTGTTCTTCATAGATCTTTTTGTGGAGGATGTGCAAAAAAGGTCCGAGCCACACGAGAGGGACAAAATGTTCTTTCGGATGATGTTCATCACGTGTTGACGATCACCCGGGCGACTGCTGTGCTCCATGACGTGTTGCACCACCTCGGCGTCAGGGTTCGGACCGGTTCTGATCGGTTCTTCCCATGAAGTCAGAAGGCAGAAAAAGTGAGGGGTTGAACAACGTAAAGGGTTCCCAAGAAAGAACATCGTCGTCATCATCACCATCATTCCATCATCATTGGGTCAGCAGGATCTTTGGGTCATTTACCCATCATCAATATGTTCTTTCAAATGGTACTGATACTGACTTAATTCTTAAGAGATTTCTCACTCACTTGCCACCATAGCGTTTCTCGAATTCAACCGCGTCGTTGATTTGCTGGAAAAGAACTGGGGCCTGATGTTACTGGTGCTGGAATGGCACGTCTGGACAAGATATTGCATCTAACACATTCCCTGGACCTTTCTTGCTCGGCCATGACATTTCCTGCAGAAGTCTCACCTCCAGGTATTCGCGCGAACATGCCATACCATCAAGCAAAAGTCTCAATTGTCTAATTACTCTTGCTCTCTAAACATTCTAAACTCAGCCGATTCTCGTGAGTTCCACTCACTTCTTTCCAGGTCGCATAGTTCCCATACTGGTCCGTGGCCAGCTCCATGCCTGGGCTCGGTCCGAACCCGCGGGCTCCCACCGCTGGAGCGGCCCTTGGACCGTACACGTCCTTCAACTTGAAATTGGTGCAGAGCAGGTGGAGTGAAACATTGCAAGTCCGACGCAACACATCCCCCCCCTGTTCGAAGACTAAAATTGAACACTCACCTATAGTATAGCCTATGTGCGCTGCCTACCACAAAACAGAGTAATAAAAACCATGGAGTTGACGTCCATGATTTAAGATTCATTCATATCCACTGACTGTCTCATGATTGGCAGTTGTTGTGTTGCAAATGACTTACATAATTGTTTGATCTGTACTTTGCAATTTTCCCTGTTTACAAGTGACATACACTGCGAAGAAGTGTAAAAACAACTGGAGACATCAATGGCAGGCTTCTACACCCCGTTGGAAGACTGAGAGGCAAACTGCACCAAACTGATACCAACCTCTGTCCAGATGTTGTCAAAACCAAGTTTTCTTCCCTCAAGTTTCTCCAGTTCTCGCTTAGCTGCTTAGCGTCCATGAGGCCCAGCCCCCCCAAATCCCCCACAAGGAGACCAACCCGGATATCTCAATTATATAACTTTGTTCTGGTGACTTACCCTTGTGCACCATGCGCGGGAAAAAAACTATATATATAT